TTTTTTTTTTTTGCAGTAATTGAAAATCAAATCCAGGAACAAGAACAATATACTTTTTACATTTCTGCTTTAGAATCTGGGATTTGGAATAATGGAATGTGCTCTGCCCTTGAAGAGGCTGAAGTGTTTCCTTGTATATTACTAAGCTAAATTCACTCTGATTTTTTAGAAATATATTCTTGTAACCTGCTGGTTTATTCTGACCCTCCCTTCCCCCGGCTTGTAAAGAAATGATCCATTAGATAAAGAAATGTTTTGGTTGAAAACTGGAAGATTAAGCGTAGTTTTAAATTTTTTGTGAAATATTTAAAAAACTTTTTTTAAAGATTTATTTTTTTTTTTGGAGAGAGAGCAGGAGCAAGGGAGGGGCAAAGAGAAAATCTCAAGCAGGCTCCACGCTCGGCACAGAGCCCCATGTGGGGCTCAATCCCACTATCCTGGGATCATGACCTGAGCTGAAATCAAGAGTCGGATGCTCAACTGACTGAGCCACCCATGCACTCCATTTTTGTGAAATATTTTTAAAAATATGTAAGGGATATCTCTGTGTAAAACCATTAAACTAGGTAAAATTTGATGAACACTTGGATTTTTCTTGAGAACAAGAGTTCTTGGTGGTTCTTGATCTTATTTGTAAAATATTCTATAATCTTTGGTACTTAAGAATTACAAAAGTTATGTGTTCATATATACATGTACGCGTTTTACTCTAATACCTTCTAAGATTGTTTTAATTTCTGTTTTAGTGGAATATTGGTGAACGATACTAAGTTAGATGGACCTTTATTACAGATTCTCTTTATGAACAATGTTATTTCAAAGTAAGTAATTTTCCCCTTTCTACATATAATAAGTTAATGTGTTAATGAAACAACATCTTCCGTTACTATGCTGTATTTATTTGCACTTATTCCATTTTTATTCTTTTACTTAAAATTTAGGGAATCGTGGGGCTTTTTTGTTTTCTGGTTTTGTTTTTTTGAGAGAGAGAGAGAGAGAGGGCACAAATGAATGAGGGGCAGAGAGAAAGAATCCCACTCAGGTTCTTCACCATCAGCGTGGAGCCTGAAGCAGGGCTTGAGCTCACCCCATGTGAGGTTCGACCTCATGAACCAGGAGACCATGACCTCAACCAACTGAACCACCCAGGCACTCTAAGAGCAAGGACATTAGAGTCTATAAACATGAATTTGAATCTGGGCCCTAACTTTGTACATGTGTGAACTTGGGCAGGTCACAACCTGTCTGCATATCAGTTTCCTCACTGGAAAACAGATGCTAATAGTAACCACTTCTTAGGTAGTTAAGTGAGTACCTATAAGAGCCCAATAGCCTCTAATAAAAATAACAACTGGTACCACAGCAATAAGTAATGTTAGTCGTTTCTCCCCCAGAATCAGATAACTGGGTTTACCCTGTTGGTCGTCTTCAAAGCTTACCCACATAATTTTGTGTTTGTGTGAATGTGTGAAAGAGAATTAGACCTTTGCAAACCTTCCAGCATGCTTGGGTCTAGGGTGACTCAGTGTATTCCTCCAGTGCTTGCTAGAACGTTGTGAAATGTTTTGAGACTTTGCCCTGTCCCTTCCGCAGAGCGTGGTCATAGACATTTCAGACAGTTACTTGCCCCTCTCCTGAGTCACTGAAGCATAATCGTTATCTTGCATACTAGGCAAGGTAAAGAAGGTAACAGCATATGTTAGTTAGAGTGTTAGCTGTGTGGCAGGCCCATCACCTACCTATCTCTGCCTAGGTGAACCTGCTGCTCTCAGGGGTGGGGACGCTGGATGGTGAGGGTGGCAGTAGCAAGGTGCTGGGCACAGCTGGGCGTGAGCACTGTCATCATCATTGGATTTGAATCCGCGTCCACTCTAGCTCATGGCAATCTCATTTCTGCACCATGTATCTGCCATTTTGCCTGCAGAGATCTTGGAGTGTCAGAGCTAAAGAGACCTGAAAGATCAAGTCTGGTGAAGAGCAAGATGGCTGCCCCACTGCGGCCAAGCTGGGTTCCACGGGCCCCTCCTGAACCGAGCGTTAACAAATAGTTGATGAAAGTGGTTCTTGACCTGGGAAGCTGGAGAAAGTAGACCTCAGTAGTTTCTCTGCTTCATTTTGTGTTTCCATTGCATTTTGGTGTTTTGGTTTTTTTTGTTTTTTTCCCAGTTTAACATTTATATAGTATTTCCTTCTGTGTGGATAGGGAGTCTCTGGGAGGAAGATAGGAAGAATGTACTAGCTGTCTTTTCATTGCAGAGAAGGTGGCTGGGGCACAGACCAGGAAGGAAGCTTTTCATTATGTAACCCCTTTACTTCTTTTGGATTTTGAACCATGCTTTATATAGATTATGTATTCAAATTTTAAATATGTAACATTTATAAATAAAATCCATTTATTCTCAGCACCAATATTTGCCACTGTTACATGCCTAACACTACCTTAGGTTCCCATAATCATGTTAACTCGGCAACAATGTATATTTCTTTTTCTGAGGAATAGGTTCGTGACTGTTACAGAATCAGTGATTTTGATAAACCTGTGAAAATCACATTAACGGCATTTACTCCTGACATCTTCTAATAATGCATAAGATTTCAGTCTATTCAGTGTTTTACTCTGCATTCTGACTGTTGTGTCCTCTCATGCAGGCAATACCATCAAGAAATAGAGGAATTTGTGTCAAGTTTAGTAAAAAGATTTGAGGAACAGCAGAAAAATGATGTGGAAAAGACTTCCTTTAATCTTTTGCCCCAGGTATTTCAAACTTAAGAGACTTTAAGATTAACAGGTTATGCTTTTCACTGCCGTCTATTAGGCCACAGGGATCCTCTTGTATCCTCATGAAAATGACTAAGTGCAACCACTGTGTCCTATACCTGAAACTAATATAACATTGTATGTCAAGTACAACTAAAAAAAGAAAAAACAGGATTGTTAAAACTGTTCACCTCCCATCCTTCAACTGGGCTTCCTTCATTGGTCTGACCAGTACAGCCACAGGCGATTCCTTTGTATTGTGGCTCCTTTTCTCGGGGGAGTCCTAGACCTGGCTACACTCAAAATTAGTCTTTTCCCCCCCCACCATTTCCTCACTTGGACATGTGGTTTGAGGCAGAAAATTAATTTTAAGGCAGAAAAAAAAAATCTGTATTTCTGGAGTTTATAAAAGATGAATTATTTTTCTCTAAAACCAACAGGTTTACCTGCTATTCTATTTTCTCCTCTGCTTATTGGAAAAAATCAATAGCATGCCCAAAGAAATCTGAGAGATTTCACTACGTGAATATCAGAGCGTGAATTTATATTTTAAAAAATCAGAATTATGATTTCTGGGCTTTTTTTTTTTAATTAAAAGTTATGGTAAGTAGACTCTGTCAAATAAGGGTTGTTAGCTGTGTATCCTGAGAATTGGGAGAACAGAGAATTCTGAGTAATTAAATTTTTTTTTTTTTTAATTTTTTTTTTCAACGTTTATTTATTTTTGGGGACAGAGACAGAGCATGAACCGGGAGGCAGAGAGAGGAGACACAGAATACAGAAATCAGGCTCCAGGCTCCTGAGCCATCAGCCCAGGAGCCCGACAGCGAACTGGGGCTCTGAACCCATGATCAAGATCGTGACCTGGCTGAAGTCGGACACTTAACCGACTGCGCCACCCAGGCACCCCTCTGAGTAATTAAATTTTTATCACCTTGAGTTTTTACATCTCTTAAAGCTCAATTTTAAAGATTTAAGAAACAAAATACATGTAACAATAAAAACCATACAAGGAGTTTTTGATTCGTGAGCACTTCAGAATTTTGTGGTGGAGGGAGGTCAGGGAGGTCTATGGAGCTCTATCAGTATTGACCACTAATGTAAAATCATAAATGTTTGGTCTTTCTTTGTTATCTGGTTTAAGACTATCGTCTACTTGTCATTAGCGTTGAGTTTATTTTTTTTTATATGTGAAATTTATTGTCAAATTGGTTTCCATACAACACCAGTGCTCATCCCAAAAGTGCCCTCCTCAATACCATCACCCACCCTCTCCTCCTCCCACCCCCATCAACCCTCAGTTGTTCTCGCTTTATCAGTTTTTTTTAATTTTTTTTTTTTTCAACGTTTATTTATTTTGGGACAGAGAGGAGACAGGCATGACAGAGAGGGAGGACAGAAGGAGACCTGAAATAGGCTCAGGCTCTATCAGCCCAGGAGAGGCCCCATCAGCCGAAACCCGGCGGGCTCGAACCTCACGGACCACGAGATCGTGACTAGCTGAAGTCGGACGCTTAACTGACCTGCGCCACCAGGCGCCCCTGTTCTCAGTTTTAACAGTGTTCTGTGTGCTTTGGCTCTCTCCCCACTCTAACCTCTTTTTTTTTTTTTTTTTTCCTTCCCTCCCCATGGGTTCCTGTGCAGTTTCTCAGGGATCCCATAAGGATGAAACCATGGTATCTGTCTTTCTCTGTATGTATTTATTTCACTTAGTATCACACTCTCCAGTTCCATCCACGTTACAAAGGCCATATTTCATTTTTCTCATTGCCACGTAGTATTCCAATGTGTTGAGAGTTTAAATATTTATTCATTCAATTTAATACACCAATATTCAGTAACACAAAAGTCATAGTCTACACTAATGCTTCAGAAGGCGCTGTCTTTTATCTTTGTAATTTTAATTCTCCTCTTGTGAAATTTATTTCACAAACCTCCCTAGCTTTCAAACTTACCGTAATTGTGGACAATGTTGAATTCAGAACTTTATATACCTTAGTGGTATGTATTAGAAAATAAAGGGTGTGTTTTAATTTCCTCATATTTGAAATTTGAACAACTAGTTAAAATTAGTTACCTTCTATAACTGTTTTTCTTTGTGTTAGCCATCTAGTGTTAGAAGAGACCATAAAGTGGAAGAATCGTGTGCCATTAAAACAACAGAAGCTTTTAGTGTAAGTTTGGACATTTGGTTTTGAATCCTGCAAAATATGTTTTTTTATCCTGTGTCATTTTTTTTGGGTGGCATTGAAATGATAAGGTGGCATAGCCATGTGTCATCAGATGATCACCACTTCCTTTCATGCAATTTGTTTACAAGCAACAGTTTAGGCTTCAGCCTAGATAATATGGTTACACTTTCTAATAATTACTGGATACCATATGATAGACAGACGTTGGAGGACTTATTTTTTGTCCTGACTAATTTTTTGTACTATGTTGCATGAACGCTGGATGATGATCTGGAGCGCGTGCTTGTTGCACGCATACAGATGGGGGAAGCGATAAGCAAAAACAATGTAACAGATGGCAGATAGAGATTAAAATGTTGACAAACTCAAATGGCGGTGAAAATGAAGAGGCATGATGACAGGGATAAACTGCCCTTAGGCCTTTGGTACCACCTGTGCGGAGTGCCGTGTCAGTGCAATGTAGCGGTGTGATTTTGCAACTGGTTTTTTCAGATGATGATGAAACTCCTGGATTCTGTTCGAGGACCGTTTTCATGTGCGGGGAGTGACGTGCCCCATTGACCTACCACAATCTTAAGGACATGGGGCTGGGATCAGAAGCTGGACTGTGGCACAGCCTTACTGCAAGATTGACAGGGATATGGCGTGTCTCTGCAGATGTGATCGAAGCGTCATGTTAAAGATCACTCTGTGGTGCCGGTGGGAGGACTGGGACCAGCTTTTATCGTGGACCACAAGCAGGCACAGTGCAACTCAGCCTTCAGTGCAAACTTCTGTCAGAGATGTGAATACAGGCGGTCGGGACTTCGTTTAAGGAAAAGCAGATTCCACATTACCCGAAGAAGTCAAAGACTGAGATGCTATCAAGGCGCTTTAAAGAAAAGAATTTGAACTATGTAACTCTTCCTGTCCCTTCTAACTCTAGGTTCTGGGCTGAGAGGCGGTACCTGCCTGAAAGCTGGGACTATTGTGTATTAATTACTTCTTTAATATAATAAATACAGAATGTTCCCTTGTCAGGGTTTGGGTTCCAGAGGACAGCAACTTAGAAAAAAAGGAAAGTCTGCTCAATAATTAGATACATTCTAGGGCAAAGAAAATAGGTGAGCTAAGGACTTAGAGGGTAACTTTGTGGGGCTGGGTTGGTTTGTATGGTGAGTAGATAAATGACAGCCTCTCTGAGCCCGATAACAGAACAAATTGAGGGAGTGAAGCCATCATGCAGGTGGATTCACAGACTCCAGGCAGTAGGAACAGTGAGTGGAAAGCCCTGGGTCAGAAGGGCACACTGATGTTGCTCACTGTTTACCAGGTACTGTCTTGAAGCTCATTACAGATATGCTCGTGAAGGTACTACTAGTATTCTCTTTTTACAGATGAGGGAAACAGATGTGGAGAGCTATAATCTGCCCTGAGTCCCTTAGCTAGTAAGTGACAAAGCCAGGCGTGAATCCAGGCCTTCTGATTCTGAGCAGATCTAAATCTCTTTATATTGCCTCATAAGCAATAGTGCTTTGGGTGTACTCTGAGATGAGAAGTCCCTGGAGGATTTTAAAATGTTGTTTGTGAATGTGACATGATACCACTTGAATTTTGAAAGAGCTGGCTTCTTTTGAAAGAGCTACAGTGTGTAGCTGGTTACATGTGGAAGCTGGAAACTGGCTATGACTCTGTTGATCTCAGGTGAGAAGATGGCAGGTCAGTCTAGAAGACCAGGGCTGGACGTGAGCAGGGGTTAGAAGCTGGATCTACCCTGAAGGTAGAACTGACCAAATGTGTTGACTTTAATTGGATGCATAGAACACAGCGAGTCACAACCAAACGATGCAGGTTTTGGTCTGAGCAGCTAGAATGAGGTCCTTCCCTTTCCCTGTGATGGGAAAAAACTGGTGGGAGTGCTTAGCTTTGAGTGGAATGGGGAATCTGGTTCATTTTAAATAGGTGAGTTGCATGTCCCGAAACCTGTCAGCACTTGAATCACAAGATTGGAGTTGAGGCAAGAACCCGGATATTTGGGTGTCCCATACATCGTGCATTTCACCATGGGCCTGGACGAATCACCTCAAGAGTGCAGGTAGAGAGGGGACCGGACTGAGTCTCACAGAAGATGGAGAGATGAGAAGGATTGGTCAGCAAGGTAGGAAGAATACTGAGAGAATGGTGTCCTTAGCCAGAAGAAGTGACTGACCTGTGTCCGGCCGTTGCTGACAGGTTAAGGTGAAGACTGAGCCGTCCACTGAATTTGGCTGCATGGGGCCCATGGGGAGCTGCTAGCACCATGAAGGAGGCAGAAAGCCTTTCTGGGTGTTCTGAGATACCAAGAGAGAATGGCAGGGGCCATCTGAGGAAAAAAGTGGGGGCTGGTTTAGAGGAAAAGAGATTAACACCATCTAAATGCAACATGTGAACCTTAAGTTCTTGCTTGGAAAAAATAAAGCCTGAAAAGCATTTTGGGGACCAGTTGGGAAAACGGAGTACAGAATGGATATAGATGATATTAAGAGTTTATTAACCTCTTAGGTGTGACAGTGGTATTGTGGCTTGTGGAGAATGTTCTTGTGCTCGAAGACCAACCTGAAGTGTTTAGGATGAAGTGTCACGAAAGTAGTCTGTCGCTGGTTATGTGTAGAAGCTGGAAGCCCGTTAGGAAATTTACCATATTAATCTCAGGCAAGAGACAATAATGGCTTAGACCGAAGATGATGGTGGTGGCTTACTTTTCTCCCGGTGGCTCAGTAAAAAAGTAAGTGTGCTGTGTACCTGTGTGTGTGTACGTGGTGTGTGTGCACGTAAGGTATCCTAATT